GTGTACAGTTTCCTAATCACTAATCAATCCTCACATTTAAATCAGGTTTGGACATTTAAAAAGCACTTCCACAAATATGTTCCTATGAAAGACTGGAGTGTGAATATACTTTTTTATATTACAGCACATCTAGAAAAACTCACAAAGCTGCACTACGTAAGAATTTTTTGCTAAAACTGAAAGAAATATCATTGCTGAGTCAGGAAAAAATAAACAGGCTAAAATACCCAAACCAAAAAAAATATATGAACATGTATTTTTATGGATTTGAAATGCATTTCAAATACATTGCAGTCCACACCGAATATATATCTGTATTACCTAAATATATTTAAAATATATTTATTTTTAAATGTAGGGGGAATCATTACACATAGAAATGTACCATACAAAATAAACATATGTAAATGTGTTTATCAAATACCTTTGAAAATGTATGAAAGCAGCCAAAATCCTATCTAATGCACTTCACTGTCTGATAACTTTAGGAATTAATTTGTATGAACCTTTAACATGACAAAAGTGAGTGTTGTAGGTATTGATACTGAAAATGCAGTTATGATTTGATGTCTTGTTTATGCAAAACACAGACGTCAGTACATTGAGTTTTTGTATGTTTGGTCATATCTGTAAGCTTTGTTAAAACTACATACAATTAAAAAAAACATATAATAACTGATACAAATAAATGTATTTTAAAAATATATTTAACAAACACAGTTTTGGTCATTTTCAACTATTGCAAAAATATTATGTGCTGCTGCGAGTCGCCCAATAAAGCCTAAAATGATCATTTTAAAGTCAGAGGCGTCGGGACGGGACTTTTTCACACCACATCATTCGTCTTTACATATTAACATCACACATACAGACTCAAAAAGAAGATCCAGCTCGATGTTTGGGTCTCAAATGCAAAATCTATTTGAATTCTCTTTCAATCATTAAAATCATCCACTCAGGGAAAGGGGTCTGCATGTTGCGTGCAGTTACACATTTCCACCACAGAGGTCTCCAAATCCCCAAATCTTACATGGCGCAGCTTTAAATTTTGTTTAAAAAGTGCAAGAGACAACCATCTCCTGACTGAGGCTCTAATAGAGAACCAGTTTAATAAAACTGAAGCTTAGCAAAGTATTTACACTCGCCGAGTCTATAAATTACTGTTTGTGTTAACTTTTTTTTTTACTTTAAAACTCATTAAAACATGTTATTTTACCAGGGTGCCCAAACTTTTGCATACAACTGTATGCAGTTGTGTTTATATATGTAGCATCAGATATTCAGCCCATCCCTGAGTGCACATTCACAAACAGCAAACCCTACAAAACATGAAGTAATGTTACTTTTCAGAGACTTTTTTTAGAGATTTTAGACAAATATCTGTAATTCAGTCCAGTCATACAGGACTCTGTTTACTGAAGACACTGCAGAGACGTCTCTAAAGCAGGACAAAGACTCAGACATTTAAAAAAAACACTCAGACATTTACAAGACATTTACATTCTTATCCAGTGGGATTCTGTCTAGCGGACACCAAGTGTGCTGTGAAATATTGATATGCACTCAGAACTCTGCATCTCAGCCCACACACTTAAACGTGACTGACATCACACGAGCCAGACCCAGTTCTTCTCCAGACCAAAAACAGAACCCAAACAGCTCACTGTGTCCTAAAAAAGCACCATCGACTGCAGAGGACCTTCTACATTCAACATCGGCGACTGATTCTTCTCTCCGAAAGCTCGTTTGGCAGCTAAAGAGAACGATAAACGAGGCCACATGCTTCAGTGAGACAAACATGACTCACGGCTCACAGTACCAGGCTAGATTAAACGCTAAATAGGCCAAATTGATGCCAAATGAGGAGAAAGTTGAAGAAAATAAGGCACAAAGGATGAGCAGGTGATCAAATGGACGTGTGAAAACAGGTCAGACAAACTTTGACACTCGGACAGAAAAACTATCTTATAAAATTAAAGGTAGACAAGGCCAACGATTTTAAACTGAATTAATTAAAGAATCTCAAAACAGAAGCTCTCAGTACTGAGCAAATAGTGAGCTGATATCCTTCAACCTCAATAAAAGGAGAATTCCACAGATTTTTCTAAATTATTAAATGGTTAAGATGTAAAAAATGTTGTTCGGAGTGGTTTGGTGTGAAATGCTCAATTCTAGAGAAACTTACCATCACAGTGGTGGTGAAAGGAACCAGATGTCCACCTCTAAAAGCTCCCTCACGGAAAGTTACTACATGAAATGGTTATGAATTCACTGATGACTGAGAGATTGTTTTACACTAGTTTTGAGATGGTGAGCAAAACAGTCTGCAAAGCAAACATTTTTTCAGATGTATCTGTCATTTGCACTGTGCTGCGCTGCTGTTATAGTTTACATAATTGCTAATTCAGGGGCTGTGGACCCCCACGGATTGATTGACAGGCTCTGCATCAAATGTAACCTCCTGGTTAGTCAGTGTGGCGCAGGCTGGAAATCGGGTCGCATCAACGTGGCCTTGCGTGTATGAACCTGAAGAGGGAGATTCTGAACAAGAACGTGAAGCTTCTTGTTCAAATTTTCCAATTCCACCTTAAACGGTGCCGCACTTACATTCTGATAACCTGAGGCTATTTATTCGAATTTTCCATTCCACCTTAAATGGTGCAGCACTTACATCCTGGCACCTGAGGCTTTTTATTCGAACTTTCCCATTCCACCTTAAGTGGTGCCGCGCTTACATTCAGTCACCTGAGGCTATTTATTTGAATTTTCCTGTTCCACCTTAAATGGTGCAGCGCTTACACTTTGTAACCTGAGGCTATTTGTTCGAATTTTTCTGTTCCACCTTAAATAGTGCAGCACTTACATTCTGTCGTCTGAAGCCATTTATTAGAATTTTCCTGTTCCACCTTAAATGGCGCAGCACTTGCAATTTGTCGCCTGAGGCTTTTTATTCGAATTTTCCCGTTCCACCTTAAATCATGTCAGTGCCAGAATGTGACTGCTGCAAAATTTAAGGTGGAACATGAAAAATCGAACAAGAAGCTGGCGAACAGGAAACCGACTTCAGCCTCATTTTGTTAACTGTAAATTTGTAGCTCCAAAATTTAGAGTGACCGTTCCCCCGAAGTGTGGGAGGGTCACTTGATCTCACAGTTCATGAATATGCAATATAAGGCAGCTTACAGTTCACTACAGTCCGTTAGTGTTTCCTGTGATGTTTAAGATCACGCCAAATAAAGTGTAATTCCTAAACGGTGGCTAGGGGGCAGTATATGGAAAAATAAACAATGTAGATGTAATTTTATGCACTCAGTGCATAATAAATGAAGCACATACTTCCTGCCAATAGAACATTTTGAGTAAGGAGGAAAAAACTGTGCTGAACTCTGCAGCACATATGTAGCTGTAACGTATCGCATATCTGGTGCAGATTCACATTGAGGTGAACTGTTAGAAAACCCTGTAATTATTAATTATGATTATGTGCTGAATTATTTAATTAGCTCATTTAATCCCGTCAAAATGGCTCCTACAGAGTGAGCACACCTGCTGCTGACTGCAGATTCAGAATTAGAGAAAGTGTTCCTGCCATGAGGCTCTAGCTCACGTGCAACGGGTTTCTCTGGCTGTCTCTGACACACACACCCTACCCTACCCTGCCCCGACCCTCTAACAGCGGGTAATGGAACGGCCGTGCTCTGAGCGCTCTGCTCTGTATAAGGCCGTACAGTAAGCCTGCATTACTGCACGACCCGTCAGCTTCTGTGAGACCTGAAACTGTGTGGAGACTCTAGTCTCAGCTACTAAACCCCGTCTCTCAGACGAACTCGGCTGATATGCAGTTGGGCAGATAAAATCAGATATTTAAGACACATGAATTTATTGAGTGAAAATGCAGCTGATAAAATATGAGCATTTATACGCGGCTTGTTTTACGCTGTAATGCAGGGATGCATTTTGTTGGGAATAGTTTTCTTTACTGGTTTTAGTTGTTATTCATTGTTAATCAATATTAATGCTGGAGGGTTCTTATAAGTCAACTATGTTCTGTTCTCATGGTTTGGACAATAACACATATTGCCCTTTCAACACCCCCTAAGAAGGATTAGTGTGGACCAGAGGAGGATGGGTTCCCCTTTTGAGTCTTGGTTCCTCTCAGTGTTTCTTGCTCTTAGGCAGTTTTTCCTGCCACTGTCACCACTGGCGGCACTCACTGGGGATCGGACCCATATTTTTCTGTAAAGTTGCTTTGTAACAGCGTCTGTTGTAAAAGCACTATATAAATAAACTTTGACTTGACTTTTACAAATGTTCAATATTATGCTGTCAAAACAAAACCTCGTATCTCCAAAATGGTGACTTTACAGGAGAAGGAAAAAACATACTTTACTTTTAATGGAAGTCAATGGAACCAGACTTTTTCCCAAGCAATTCTGGGCCGTTTTTTTTTTTATCCATTCATCATGAAATTAACAGACTATGTAAAGGGAAAAAGGCATTTTCAAATTATGTCAAAAACTGAAAAATATGAGATATGAGGTTTTGTTACAACTGCAGCAATACAATAGTTTTATAGTATATTTTATAGTACATCTCTTTGATCTGCAGACGTACAGACAGATGTCCACACATCTCATATGTACAGACATTCCTCATCTCCTAAGCTCCTTTCATATAGGCTGTTTTTCATTATTGTTCCTTATTCTATATTCTATTTATTGCACTGTATTTTAGTTTTCCCCGTAGTTTAATACCAGTTAACTGTCTGTGTGCTTGTCTGGTCTGTTTAATATGTTACGCCATACATGTGTGACTCACCAAGACAAATTCCTTGTACGTGTGACATACTTGGGGAAATAAAGTGATTCTGATTCTAATTCTGACCTGCAAAATCAGGTGAAAACAGCCACGAAGGTGCACATTTTGCCCTGTTAACTACTTAGCAGGATGTTTGACCACAAAGCCAACAACAATGATAAAGGCCCATTCTGGGCTCTTACCCTCTGGATCCAGCTGCGAGGTGCTTTGGCTCTTCTTCCCCAGTCCCACCATGGCGGCCATCTTGGCCCCGAAGCTGGAACGCCTCTTCTTGTCGTCCTCGTCGTCGTCGTTTCGGCCGAGCGAACACATGTCCCCTCCGACGCTGGAGCTCTTGGTGATGTTGGACCCGGGGGTCGCCGTCTGAGCCCTGTGTTTCATTTTGGATGTAAACTCACTGTCAGCAAAGCAGGTGGACACCCAGAGGACAAAGAAGACAAGAAGGACAGAAACGGAGAGGAGAGGACAGGAGAGGAGAGGAGAGGAGAGGAGAGGAGGGGACAGTGGAGAGAGAGAGAGAGAGCAAGGGACAGGGTTCATCAGAGGCTTCAGGACAGGGTCAGAGGTAAAGGTCAAAGATTAAAGGGGAATTCGAAGATGTCAGTCAGAGTGGTCTGATGTGAAGAGTCAGAACTGGTCACAGTGGTGGTCAGAGGAACAGATCATTTGATTAATAGATGATTTATCACCAATTTACCATCATCAGCACTACATATAAACTCAGAGGACTCGTGCAGGTTCACTGGTGGTTTTGGATCATAAATAAAATGGCTATATTTGTGTTGCGACCCCTGGTTCCCATCACCTCCACTGCAAAGACATCTGAGTCGTTAAGTTGCTCTACAACAAGCATTTCACATCAAACCACTTGGAATGACTTTGTTGACATTTCAACATTGGAACTATGCAGAAGTTTTGAAAATCATCCCCTTTAAAGGTGGGCAGGTAGAGCAGGAAAGGCTACAGGGCTACAGCTCTGAGGACTGAGCGCCAAAGACAACCTACAGGTAGAGGAAAGAGCAAAGCCTCTCAGCTACAGCTCTGATGTGTCTGCTGGACTTTTGATCTTGTCACTGGTGTATCTCATGGGTCTTTCCTCTGTACGACCCTGGAGTCTTTGTGGAATCTTGTCCTGCTTTTTCGTGCAAAGCCCAGTACTTTGTTTCTAAGTCATTTATTTATATAAATTAGATCTGTGAACGAGGTAGTTCTGACATTTGCATTTAGTAACTGGTTTAGTAACATAAGAGTAGAAGCCTCTTAATGACACTGTTAAAACCAGTGGTCAGCTGATAGGGGCATTTAAGAGCTGTTTAAGAGTACAGTTTGTGTTCTCCATCCTCAGTTTCTGACCACAGAGCTGCTCTTGTCTGGATATTTTTTGGTGGTCCAGTCTTAGCAAGTGACTCTGATGTGTGCAAAAACTCCAGCAACACGGCTGTGTCTGATAACACCTGGACAATGGCCGCCCTGTGGTCAGAAACTGACCAGTGATGGTTGGGGTACAGGAGGCTGACTACAAGTGAGGTGTTTCTAATAGAGTGGCCAGTGAGTGGAAGCACAAGGGAGGTGTTTCTAATAAAGTGGCCAGTGAGTGGAAGCACAAGGGAGGTGTTTCTAATAAAGTGGCCAGTGAGTGGAAGCACAAGGGAGGTGTTTCCAATAAAGTGGCCAGTGAGTGGAAGCACAAGGGAGGTGTTTCTAATAAAGTGGCCAGTGAGTGGAAGCACAAGGGAGGTGTTTCCAATAAAGTGGCCAGTGAGTGGAAGCACAAGGGAGGTGTTTCTAATAAAGTGGCCAGTGAGTGGAAGCACAAGGGAGGTGTTTCCAATAAAGTGGCCAGTGAGTGGAAGCACAAGGGAGGTGTTTCCAATAAAGTGGCCAGTGAGTGGAAGCACAAGGGAGGTGTTTCTAATAAAGTGGCCAGTGAGTGGAAGCACAAGGGAGGTGTTTCCAATAAAGTGGCCAGTGAGTGGAAGCACAAGGTGGGTGTTTCTAATAAAGAGGCCAGTGATCACAAAATTTCCGCTTCTTCCATAAGGCCCTCGCTATAAACAGATAAAAAACTCATTTATCCCCACTGCCGTCTCGTTGTTGAATAGTAGGAACAAGGGATGCTACTTTGGAGAATATAAAATTTAAGATAATTTGGATTTAACTTTTTTTGGTGTCTGAATAATTTCTTCTATTGTTATGACGACAAGCTTGTAACAAAAGAAGCCTTTTGGGTGCTATACAGAACCCGTTTCAAAAAGGTTCTGCATAGAACCATCTAGAGCACATTCTCTATCAGTCTGAAGAACCCTTTAATCATGAAAATGTTTTTTAAAGGTGTTCATGGTTCTATATAGAACCATTGTCTTCACTAAAGAACTCTTGAAGTTCCACCTTTTTTTAAGAGTGTAGATAAACATTTGTTCCAGTTCAGCGTGTAAGAAATGTCAGGTGTGCTGTCGGCTGGGACTGTGTTCTGATATTGGTGTTCTCTGCCATTTCAGTGACATATTGGAGCTCCTCAGAGGGCCCCGGCGGGCCCCGAGCCACTGCGTGTTACAGACATGGCCTGTACGAGGGTGGAGCGCGTTCACGTTCTCCGGGGATTTCTGCAGGGCTGCTCGTTATTGGAACACTGTGTTCCTGATTCACACTCATCCTGCCCTGTATTTTTATCTGAAGGACTCTGTTCCATCCATGAAGACAGAGCGCTGCCGACAACTAACCCAGCGGAGCGGGAGGTTATATAACGACCTACTGAAGTGACACAGAGAGACAAGCTCCAGAGCGCCACGGGCACAACGCTGAGAGGATGACCAATTAAACGCATTATTGTTCTTTATGTGTAGTTAGGGTTCGGTTATCCACTTTAATAACTACTAATGACCACTGCTGTGTGAGTGAACACTCACTGTCCACTTTATCAGAAACCCCTCTCTTGTAGCTCCACCTTGCTTGTGTACCGTCAGAGACTGCAGCTCATCTGCTGATGTAGTTTTTGTTCTCCATCCTCAGTGTCTGACCACAGAGCCGATCTTGTCTGGATGTTTTTGGGTGGCGGTCCACTCTTAGCAGTGACACTGACGTGTGTAAAAACTCCAACAACACCGCTGTGTCTGATACACTCGTACCAGCACAACACACACTCGTCATGAGTCTATGTACATATATGTCACAGTCACTGCTGTGATGAGAACGGACCACCACCCAAGTAACATCTGGACAACGGCCGCCCTGTGGTCAGAAACTGACCAGTGATGAATGAGGTAGAGGGGGCTGACTACAAGGTAGGTGTTTCTAATAAAGTGGCCAGTGTGAGGAAGCACAAGGGAGGTGTTTCTAATATAGTGGCCAGTGAGTGGAAGTACAAGGTAGGTGTTTCTAATAAAGTGGCCAGTGTGTGGAAGTACAAGGTAGGTGTTTCTAATAAAGTGGCCAGTGTGTGGAAGCACAAGGTGGGTGTTTCCAATAAAGTGGCCAGTGTGTGGAAGTACAAGGTGGGTGTTTCTAATAAAGTGGCCAGTGAGTGGAAGTACAAGGTAGGTGTTTCTAATAAAGTGGCAAGTGCGTGGAAGTACAAGGTAGGTGTTTCTAATAAAGTGGCCAATGTGTGGAAATACAAGGTAGGTGTCTCTAATAAAGTGGCCAATGTGTGGAAATACAAGGTAGGTGGTTCTAATAAAGTGGCCAGTGTGTAGAAGCACAAGGTGGGTGTTTCTAATAAAGTGGCCAGTGTGTGGAAGTACAAGGTAGGTGTTTCTAATAAAGTGGCCAGTGTGTGGAAGCACAAGGTGGGTGTTTCCAATAAAGTGGCCAGTGTGTGGAAGTACAAGGTGGGTGTTTCTAATAAAGTGGCCAGTGAGTGGAAGTACAAGGTAGGTGTTTCTAATAAAGTGGCCAGTGCGTGGAAGTACAAGGTAGGTGTTTCTAATAAAGTGGCCAGTGCGTGGAAGTACAAGGTGGGTGTTTCTAATAAAGTGGCCAGTTAGTGGAAGTACAAGGTAGGTGTTTCTAATAAAGTGGCCAGTGAGTGGCAGTACAAGGTAGGTGTGTCTAGTAAACATCTGCACGGCAGCATGACGCCGGTTGCTGTGTGTGAAGTATGTTTTCGTAATAAGCTAAACGGCACAGCGGACATTCTCTAAAGCCTGAGCCAATCAAACTGGTTTGTGCTGCCATTATGTGCATTCAGACGCCGAACCACTGAAGATGTTTCTGCAGACGGCCGGCTGGAGTGTTTCTACGGCTGTGACGAAGAGGATGAATCTGTTTCTATGGCAACTCTGTCCTCAGTGCTTGCCTCTGCATGCTTCAGGATCCTCTTGATAAACTCACATGACCCTTTACCCATTAGACGATCACACACTTATAAGACATTAATGCACAGAAATAAAACGTGTTCTAGGTGCACTGATGACTTTTTACACGTTTATAAGACACATAAAAACGATGCTGATGGGCAGAAATGAGCCTGCATTCAAAAAACATTTCAATAACTGTAAAAGCACAATATGCACATACATAAAACAGATAACAGACAATTGGACACCGATCTTCATGTACAAATCCACTCCAAATGTCTTATAAGTGCATATCTTAGTAGCTGATTATCATTTTTTCCATGCAATCACTCATCAGAAGTGGGTTTGTTAGACTGGCGTGATCAAAGTCCTAATGCACGCACGTAGGCGGATGGAGAGGTGGCTGGAGTTCAGCGTCTCGCTCTCCTTCAGCATTAAACAGAAGGAACGTGGCTAATTGTTCCGTTGAAAAGCTGCTTCCCTCAAATTTTTTCAATGAGCAGGAGTTGCTAAGCGCTTCTGTGGAAGTGAATGAAGACGAATGGTAGAGGAGGAGCGCTGACCAAAAATGTCCTTGCTTCCTCCATGACTGAAGGACCCAAATGCTGCAAGCTGTGCGTGGAGAGCACAAACACTGTGACTAGTCGCATAATAATGCAGCTTATTGTTAGGGATGCACTGAAATTTAGGCCACAGAAACGTTATGGCCAAATCGGTTTTTGGCTGAAAAATGAAAAAGACCAAACATTTTAGCTGGGAAAAAGTCCCAAAAGATTAAATAGGCCTACAATCAAGTGTTGAAATTGAATAATTAACATATAATTAATTAAAGATAACATAAACGAGGAACTGTGATTAAAAACGCTGTTGTCTTCTGTGTTCTCCTGCGCTGGTCAACACAGACGCATTCAAACAGTCTGAGCAGTAGGTCAACAGTGAAAGTATCGATTCACATGATACTCTCTGTTCATGCTGGGTGGAGATACAACACCCAAGACTGACCAGTACAGGTTTAAAAACACTGAAAATGTGACAATCCGCTCCAAACGCAGAACACAGAAACAACAGAAGCAGT